AGTAATGCCAACACCACTCAAATAGATAAAAGCAGAATGGAAGGGAGAAGTAAAATGGGATAATAAAAAAAAAAAGCCAGAGGCCAAACAAAGCTAATTACTGTAAAGGTAAGAAAGAAGTTTGTAAAGCTGACCAATTATTGTCTGAAAAACTACAATTTAAACAATATATTAACTAAAAACTGACCTCCAGTTGGCAAATAAACAATGTCCTGGTTACAATACTATTTAACCTGCTAAGACATTGATGTTAAAATTATTAAATAAATGTAATTTTCTCTTCTTACAAAACCTAGAACAGAAAGGTGAGAACAAGAGAAGCAGAAAATAAAGGAAACAAGGAGACAGAAAAGGAGGAGGGAAGGCTGGATGGTTGTCAAGTCAGCAGTCAAAGAGCTGTAATCATCCATAAATGATGACCTGAAACATTGATCCGAACCACAGACTGAGGCTCGTCTGTCAGGAACGTGTCAGCAACTCCAGCTTAGGCCTGTTAGTCACGCATCAAAGCATCTTCTGCGCTCTTGCTTCTCTTTCTCTTACTTCAGACAGTAAAAACAGCACTTTGTGGTGACAGCGTTACTCTGTTGCCTTTAAACTGCTTCTATGATGTAAAAAAAAAGGTGAGAGGAAACGGAATAAGGCCGGTTATGCTGTACGATTTTAGTGATCTTAGTTCTAAAGAGTCTGAGGCACATCCTGTGGTAAATTTTAGGATTCATCTTCTGCAGCCAAACTAGATGTGAAGCCCTCCCTCCTCCAGACACACATGCACACACACACACACACACACACACACACACACTCACCAAACAATACTAAAGCAAAAAACTATTCTACAAAGCTAAGAAGTTATGGATTCACTGATTTTAGACAAAAAGAGTCATTTAAACTAACCAAGAATGAAAAATATATATTTCACTCCAAAGGAAAAATATGTCATCGTAGGTTAAATAAAATACCAGAAGTTTAAGCTTTTTTTTTTTTTTTTTTTTAAGTATAATGTTTTTCGTTTCATTTTAACCTTATGCTATATATTGCGTAATCTAAAGAAACAGCTGAAATGTAGATTAACACGGTTTAATCATATTTTGCCGGACTGCTCTGAGCATGTCCCATGATGACGTCAGAGAAGCAGTTTAAGAAGAAAATTTAAAAATTGTCTCACAAAAGTCATAAAACATTTTTAAAGATGTGTATTAGCATTCTTTAGAAAGTTAATGATAGAAATAAGTAGTTTTACTACCATAATTACATTATTTATGGACACCCGGATGTATACCTGTTAGCGCATGCGCAGGACGGATCGTGCTTCCGGCCCCATATGTATTTAGAAAAAATTTATTCTGAGCTATGAGAACGCATTCATTTTTCATGTGATATGATTAGTCTTTTGCAGAAAATGTATTTATAAAAGCAACATTTAAGGTTTGCTAATAAAAAAACATATTTGATTCTTCTGAAAGCACTTCACATGTAGTTCTGGGACTTCTCCAGTTACAACAAAACAAAAACAATACTATAGCTGGACCATTGCCCTACGATAGAATGTCGAACTGACCAGGTTATACCCTGCTCACCCATAGACTGCTGCAGATAGGCACCAGCACCACCATTACCCTGACAGATGAAGTGGAAGATGATGGATGGATACCATTGTTCTCCTCCTATTGTTTCAGCTATGGAGAAACACCTTCACCTCCAAATTGCACCTACAGTTAGGTTCCATGGAGACAAAATAACGCTGCATATTTTTTCCTTATAATACTTAAAATGAAGCCTTGGATGTGTATTACAAAATATAATGGAAAAGGTTGATTACTAGAGTCTGATAGGGTTTAATGGTAAAGTTATAAAAAAAAATCTTAGCTTAAATAAAAACCCAAAATTTTAAGCAACACAGTTCTACTACATACACAAAGGCATACACAAAGAGTGCCAGGTATAGCAGAGTGGGGTCCTAGGGATTAGGGCATAGAGCTTGGAATACTGAGGTTCTTAGTATGAGCCCCATTTCCACAGACTGCCACTCTGGGTCTCTGAGCAAGTCTCTTAACCCCATACTGCTCTCTGGGCGCTGCACAGTGGCAGCCCACTGCTCTCCAAGGGGATGGGTTAAATGGAAAGGTAAAGTTCTCCAATGTGAGATCAATAAAGTTGAATTACTATTATTTATTATTGTACTAAAGTAATCAAAAATATAAAATAAATAAATATTAAAAGCTATCTACCTGCTTTTTAATAATGTGATATATTTTTTTAAATAGAGAAAGTCGTAATTGTTGCTAAAGGTTCTTATTTGTCATCACTTGAACTACAGTTTGGTGGCATCATTTTTAAAATGTCGGCCCCTCACAGTGCCTCTAACATCTGAGCTGTATGCTGAGTTGTCCACTCAGCATTGGAGTTGGATTCGCCACCTCTCAGATATCACTGGGGCCGCAGAAACCAAAACCCTCTTAATAAAACATGACTGTTGATGATCCACAGAGCCAATGATGCAGACATGTGATAGCCTCTGAACACAAAACAGGTGAAGTCATGGCGTCTCATATACTCCTATCCTCTCACAATTGACTGTATAAACACAGCCACTGATGTTTTTGCATCATAGTAAAAGTATTTCTGCTCCTTCACTGGAAATATGATCTAGAAATAAGTACAAATTTCTTAAATTAAGTGTATTTACCCTTAATTCCAGTATAAAAATGA